CACCCCTGGAGGCCAGCACACTGAATGGGGGAAAAATTGAAATCATTCCCATTAGAACTGGAACCAGACAAGGCTGCCCACTATCTCCCACCTGTCTGTTCGAACATAGTGCTGGAAGTCCTGGCTACAGCAATCAGACAGAAAAAAATGGAATTAAAGGTATCCAAATAGGGGCAGAAGAGATCAAACTTTCACTGTTTGCTGATGATATGATATTGTATCTAGAAAACCCCAAAGATTCAACAAAGAAACTCCTGGAACTGATTAATGAATTTAGCAAAGTCTCAGTATACAAAATCAATACACAGAAATCAGAAGCATTCATATACGCCAACAACAATCTAATTGAGAACCAAGTCAAAGACTCAATTCCCTTCACAACAGCAACAAAGAAATTAAACTACCTAGGAATATACTTAACCAAGGAGGTAAAAGACCTCTACAGGGAGAACTGAGAAACAGCTGAAGGAAGGAAATAGCAGAGGATGGAACAGATGGAAATCCATACATGCTCGTGGATCGGTAGACTCAATATCATCAAAATGTCCTATACTACCAAACTGATCTACAGATCATGCAATTGCACACATCTTATTAAAATCCATCAGCATTCTTCACAGATATAGAAAAAATAATTTTGACGCTTCGTATGAGATCCAAAGAAGACCCCGAATATCAAGAGCAATTCTAGGCAACAAAAACAAAATGGGAGGCATTAATATGCCAGATATGAAAGTATACTACAAAGCTGTAGTAATTAAAACTATATGGTATTGGCACAAAAATAGGATTATTACCAGTGGAACAGATGTGAGAATCCTGATATAAAACCATCCTCATATACCATCTAATCTTTGACAAAGCAGACAAAACATACGCTGGGAAAAGATCCCTTTTCAATAAATGGTGCTGGGAAAACTGGATAGCCACCTGTAGAAGGTAAAACAGGACCCACACCTTTCACCTCTCACAAAAACCAACTCACGCTGGATAACAGACTTAAACCTAAGGTATGAAACTATTAGAACTCTAGAGGAAATGTTGGAAACACTCTTCTAGACACTCGGCTGGCAAAGAGTTTATGAAGAAGTCCCAAAGGCAATCAGCAGCAGCAACAAAAATAAATAAATGGACATGATCAAACTACAAAGCTTCTGCACAGCCAAAGAATAGTCATGAAAGTAAACAGACAACCTACAGAATGGGAGAAAATTTTTGCATCTATGCATTCGATAAGGGACTGATAACTAGAATATACTTAGAACTCCAGAAAATCAGGAAGAAAAAATCAATAACCCTATTAAAAAGTGGGCAAAGGACTTGAACAGAAACTTTTCTAAAGAAGACAGAAGAATGGGCCAACAAACATATGAAAAATGCTCAACATCTCTAATCATCAGGGAAATGCAAATCAAAACCACAATGAGATATCACTTAACCCAGTGAGAATGGCCTTTATCAAAAAATCTCCAAACAATAAATGCTGGCATGGTTGCGGAGAGAGAGGAACACTCCTACACTGCTAGTGGGACTGCAAACTAGTTCAACCTCTGTGGAAAGCAATATGGAGATACCTTAAAGCGATGCAAGTGAATCTACCATTTGATCCAGCAATCCCATTGCTGGGCATCTACCCAAATGATCCAATGACACTCTACAAAAAAAGACACCTGCACTCGAATGTTTATAGCAGCACAATTCATAATTGCAAGGCTGTGGAAACAGCCCAAGTGCCCATCAATCCAAGAATGGATTAATAAAAGGTGGTATATGTATACCATGGAGTACTATTCAGCTCTAAGAAACAATGGTTATATAGCACATCTTATATTTTCCTGGTTAGAGCTGGAACCCATACTACTAAGTGAAGTATTCCAAGAATGGAAAAACAAGCACCATATATATTCTCAGCAAACTGTATTAACTGAGTAGCACCTAAGTGGACACATAGGTACTACAGTAATAGGGTATTGGGCGGTGGGAGAGGGGAGGGGGGTGGTATATACATAGCATAAGTGAGTGAGATGTGCACCATCTGGGGATGGTCATGATGGAGACTCAGACTTTGGGGGGATGGGGGGAAATGGGCATTTATTGAAACCTTAAAATCTGTACCCCATAATATGCTGCCAAAATAAAAAAAATTAAAAAAAAAAGTGGCAAAGAC